ATTCTCAGTTTTCATTACTTAGCTTATTTACTTTATAAGATTTAAGAATATTATAGTTATCTGAGACTCTGAGTTTATTAATACTTTTTATACTTATAAGATAGTAATATCACAGTATAATCTCTCTTTACAAGCATGTATTTTCATTGAGAGAGTAACAGATTCAGATATCAGCTTTAAGACTCTTAAGAAGACTGTTACTGACTCTGTCTATAACTTCATAAATTTCTATTTTAATTTATTTATACAGTTTATACAGAGATATTCTAGTTTAGAACAGATAAAACAGAGACTCTTTTTCTTACTTTCTCTATTATATACTTCATTTACAGAAGCTTGTGAAGCTCTCTCTCTCTACTCAGTAGTCAGATATAAATCTCTCTATATCTTATTATATTTCTCTGATAAATCTGTTCTCTATTATTCTGACTCTTACAGAGCTAATTAGTAATTTACTCTCTATAAGTCTATGACTCTCATAGTGATCTGTAAGTAGTAAATAAGAGTTATCAGTTTCTTCAGAATTAAGAGTTTAAAGTCTTACTTAATAAGCTTATTCTACATATCTTTATTCAGTTTCTTTATAAATATCATTATTCAGATCTTGTTTCAGAGTACTATTTTCACAGATTTCAATTTATATTATAATTTTATAAAGTACTGTAAGTAGTCTTTATCAGATTTCTCATCTCTTTTTCTAATATTAATAATTACAGTTCAGATGTTCTCTGTTCAGTTTATAAAGTCTTTTAACTTATTCACTAGATAAATCTTAAGAACAGATTAATAGAATCTCTTATAATCATTCTCTAGATAATTCAGTCAGTTCTTGACTTCAGTATAATAGAGATCTGTTATTATATAGATAATAGCTTCTTCATCTTTTATATTACATAGTCAGACTTGTAAGTCAATTTTAAATACAATCTTGTAAAAGTTTTTATAGATTGTAATTCAGTAGATAATCTTAACTAATTACAGCTTAAGAAAGTTTTTTTTCAGTTTATAAATATCTTTGAAGATTATGTCTAGAGACTTAGTTTAAGAGTGTTTACAAATAGTAAGCATTTCTTATAGAAAAATATCTTAATTTTATAGAAGATACTCAAGAATATTCTTTATTAAGATTAATTTATTCATAAGCTCAGAGAGTTTCTCTGTCACAGATATAGAGAATAATATTCTATAAATAATTGATAAGTTCTCTGAGACTTCTTTTACAGAGATTATTTATAATTTAGATAGCTGCTTCTGAGTTCTATAGTAGAGTTTACAGAGATTAAAGTATATAAGTTTCTAGTTCTTTTAGTTATAACAGATGATTGCTAACTGACAGAGCTTGAAATATAATAATAAGTACTCACAGATGATTATTCAGGTGTTTACAGCTTGATATGATATGTACTGTTAACTACTAGAAGTATTCACAGTAGAAAGATAAAATATAGAGATTAAATGTATAATAGTATTCAAGCTGAGTTATAAATAGTATTTGTGAACTTCAGTCTATATAGTTGTGTGTAGTCAAGAGCCGCTAACCCTATTAATTGCATGAGAGATAGAAATAGAGGTAAAGAATTCATGAGAAGTGAGATTTCTTACAATTAGTCAGTTCAAAGAGTGTGACTACTCATTCAAAGAAATTATAACATGTTTGAAATACTGTAAGTTATTCATCTTCTTTAATGATATACATCTTATAAAATGTAGTGATAATATCTAACTTTGTAAATTATTAAGCTCATCTGATATGAGCTAAAGTTTCATTGATAAGAGATAAAGAATAGCAGTCTTTCTTTATTAATCTATTCAGTTGTTGATAGTTCATACAGAATCAGAGTTCTTTATCTAATTTCTTTGTAAAAAGAATAGAAGCTGCAGCAGAGAAGTTGCTAATATATATGAATTCTTTATTTAACAGATTATTAAGTGTCTTTTAAAGAAGAAGAAGTTTATCTTGAGACATGTTATAAAGAGAGTCTCATAATAATTTGAAATCTTTATTATTTCTCTTTTTTAACTTGATACTGTAGTTCACTTCTGAATCTTGTAAGAAGAGTAGATTCATAATATTATTATCTTATCAGAAGACATCTAGATATTCATGACATTATTAAGAAAGTTTTGTATAAGAATGTGTTATTATAACACAGAATAACTTTTCTAGAGCTTTTTTAATATTGATCAGACTAATGCAGTAAATTGTTATATAATTCTGCTATTAGTGATCTTATCAGTGATCTTATCAGTGACTTCTTTTTCAGAGTATTTCATAAGTATTGACAGAGATCTGTGTCAGATTCATAGTCTTATAAATATCATCTTTATAAATTCTATCATTCTTATAGAATATTAAGCTTCTGTTTTAAGCATTTAATAAGATATCTTATTCAGATAGTCAGACAAGTTCTAGCATAAGATTATAGTCAATATTATTAACTTTATATGTATAAGCATCTTTAGATTGATGTTCTTTGATATCTATGTTTATTTCATCATGTAATAAATGCAAATGTCATTTAAATCATCAAATTCTGTGAGAAGTCAGGGTTTTGATAAGAGAATATACTGAAGGTTATGATATCTTATGACTGAAGATTTAATTATTGCATAGTGATATAGACTGCTATCTATCATGACTTTCATATTATATATGTTATTCATCACAGTAAATACAAGAATTGTATTCATTGTTATTTTCTCTTTAAATTAGTATCATCTGACCTCTTAAAGCTTCTGTTTATGAGTATAAATAGAAGCTAGTCTTTTCTCTGTTTCATCAGAGTATTCTTATAGTTATCTTCTAAATCTTTCTCTAATATAATATGATTGATGCAGGCAGACACTGATTCATTCTTTGAGTAAGAAGACACTGATCTTTCTCTTGAGTGAGAAAATATATAGACTAATCAGCAGTTGAAAGTAATATGTTCTGATTAGTTATAGTTAATGTATATCTTATATTAATATTAATCAGTGACTTCTTCAGAAGTGATCTCAGAGACTTAGAAGTCTGTTCAGACAGTACAGGTTCTTGTTTATATATAGACATTTGAGTCTACTCAATTCATGACATCTACATTATTATTATTATTCTTCAGTGCAGATGTTTGAGTGATTGAAGTGTAATATTCTCTACTGCTGTTCTGTATACTCTTAAGCTTAATAAGATCATTATTTAATGTCTGAAGTTGTATGCAAAAGCCTTCATAAGTCAGGTCTTTGTCTACAATAAGAATCTGTAAGAGTTTGAAAGTTAGTATCTTCTTAAGCATCTTAATCTTTATTTGATTCTTTCAAGATTGATTATCTGCTTTTAGAATCTTGATATTGAAATTAGAAATGATTGTTATGAGAGAAGTATTTCTCTGTTGAATACTCTGTAATTAATCTAATATCTTCTGTTGTATAGCAGTGTCTTAGAACAGAATATTAAGATATTTGATAATATTATCAGATGTATATAATGCTGATTCATATGTTTTTATTCATAAATGAAACTTCTGTCTCATGCAATGTTTCAATCAATCATTGATATATTAATCTTGATTAGTTAATGAATCAATGACATTTTTATCTATACTTAGTTTTATAAGCATTTTCAATGTCTATGATGAATAGAGAGTGAGGTCAGAAGTCTCAAAATCTATAAAAGTATTTAGACATTTCTTCAGTGCTTGTATATTTATATCTGATTTAATCAGTGTTGAAATTGTCTGTGCAGAGATTTCTTATTGAGTTAGTTATTGAATGTTCTTATATTAATTTTATTAATTTACATGTATATCAGCTATCTGTTGTTATTGTAATTTCAATATTACTTAAAGTCACTGTGACACTGTATCTATGCTTGTATTTGAGAGTTCTCTCATATTATTAGTAGACATAGCTATATTATTCATTGAATGTGTGATATCTGTGTTCAAGAGTTCTTTGAAATCAGAAGTGTAATTATATAAATATCTCATATATTTAAGATGTCAGAACTCTCAGGTCTTTCACTGATATTCTCTTATAAGTAAGATCTTATTCTCTTTGTGAGATCTTATTCTCTTTATGAGATCTTGTTACAGAGTCAGAATAACTGGCGAGTAAGCTTCTATCTAGAGACTCAGTGTTCACTTAACTGATTGTTCGTTTCTCTATTTCTTATATATTATTATACATTCAGATATCTTCTTAATAAGTAATTATTTCTAATGAGAAGATGATGAATATTTTTCAAGTGTAAGAGGCCTACACTGAATAGATTAATATGATATTTATAGGTCTTATAATACAAAAGTGGAAAATGTTAGAGAAGGAAAAAAGAGAAAGTGCAGGAATCAGTGATTGAACTGAATATTTATACATGTACACGGTAGAGCTTCAGGGCAGAAGAATAGGAATTCTGTGGGTTTTTCGGCCGAGGATCGGTGACCGAGAATCGGAGCTTTCGGCAGGAATCTATGGAGTGTAATGGAATAGTCTATATAATTGATCGGGTGCAGCCCGCCACATTCTGATTATATAAGTAATCACTGAATGAACTGAATAAGACTGAATTTGATCTTCAGTCTCAGTCTTATTTCAATTTTAAAAGAATGATTATCTTTCACTGTTTATTCTGAGAAATTACTCTCATTTCACTGTTCTTGAATTAAATCTGGTCATTTTTCATGTCATTTCTGAAAGAAATGATTCATTTTCAGATTTTTTTGATGCTCAGTCCTGGTGGGACTCATGCTAAGAAATGTATGGGACCAGACCAAATGGGACCAAATGGGACCAAATGTGAAATTCATGGTCCCGCCGGCCAGTCTAGATGTGGACATTCAATCCTTGGCTCCTTCTCTCTAAGTTAGTGGATCGTGGGTCGGCCCGAAATGCTCTAGCAACCCGACCCGACCTGTGTCTCCGATTCTTATATCAATTCTCTCCGGGGCGGGCGGTTGGAGAAATTTATACTTGTCATATTCAGTAAAGCAGCAAAATACCAGGTAATAATTATATGGTGAATAAGGCTCGGGGTTCTCAGCCACACGTATCAAGAATCTCTGCAGGGTCATTCGGGGCATCGCGGTTTACGATCTTGCTCCTCCGTTCATCATCATTAGGTGGTATGCACCAAAAGTATTAAATTATTGTCTGGCAAACCTTGGAAGATTCCCACATGATGAAATCACCTTGGTGTGGATCTTAAACTTCCAATTTCTCCCCAGATCGTTTCCTTCCCAAATGTCATACATAACTCGCGCTCTGTTCCATTCCTCCGCCACTCGCTCGTCGTTGAACTGTGGATCGAGCAATGCAGGTTAGCAGCATCGGCGGCAGTAAGACGTGACCCAACGTTCCTCCCGCCCTTCCTGGGTTCCGGCGGGCCGTTCCACTGTGCCTGGACCTCAAAACTACGGCTTGTGTGTACCGGATCGCGTTGAGACTGTTACCGAATATTCAAAGAGAATTGTATATCGGATCATGTTTGAAGAATTACTTTCGAGGAACCAGGACATTCTTCTTCACTGTGATTAGAGACATCTCGAACTCCATGCCTCGCCACAGGCTCCACATAAATTACGAAGCCTTGACCTCACATCCCAGTCTGAGATGCCCTCGTCGTCAAGCGCTCTGACCCCTAGACCTATTCCAACATCCCAGGAAGCTGCTACTCTACTTCTGAATTGCTGCTTGTGAATGTGCAACACCCACCCCGTCAAATGATCTCTGGTTCTTGGAAGCTGATCCGCTCATGGTTCTAGGAGACCGTGTGTCTGAAGACACGAAAAGCCCTTGCCTATTATCCCACAATATTAGGACGACAATTAGGCTAAACAAAGAACATTGATCGCAATCATGCGGTTCTCCGTCCCAGCGTTTATCGTCCCAGCGTTAATCTCTCTGCTCAGCTTTGGTTCTAAGGCACTCGCGGCTGAATGCTACAGCCGATCGGGGGGATACCCATGTGCGACTCCGCACGAGGCCTTGAATGCCCTCAGCTACTATTGCGCGAATTACTTTGATAAATCATGCAACGAGTTCGTGAAGATCACTTACCAAGGAACGGTTTGGGTCGGGCATATTGGAGCATTCAACAATCCGTCAGACTGTTACGAAGCTGGTAGGGAAATTGTAAATGAGTGCTACGGCAAGAAAGATGGTGGCTCCTGGACCCAAAATAAAAGGAGCATCAATGTCAACTACTGCAAGTGGTAGGTAAGCGTTAGGGCTCCGATGAGAGATTCGGAAAAGTGGACTTTTCCATTTTCTTTTCCGTTGTCTCTCTTATTTGTGATGTCCGCGGTTTATTAGATGAAAGGGTTTATATAGTAGGGGTGAAGTGCGGTTGCGATGGAGTGTGCGAGGGAGGCGAGATATCTAGCTGTTTTATTCTAGCTCCGTGATTATTACTTGACCACCAATTGTCTCGCCTTAAATTACATAGTGAGGGGTGAATAATTATATGTATGTACAGTAGTATCTAAGAAGTTAGTGTCCTAGAGGCTCAGTGCTGAGAGCCTCTCATATATTTACCCCTTTTCTTCCTTGATATCTCCCTCATTCTATATTTTTTCTATTGCTTCAAAAATGCCTTTCAAATTCAATACATTGAGAAAAGAGCATCTACAGTTATTGTCAATACAATTTTGAGCCTGTTTGAGAGGGTCGGGGAGGGGCGGGGGGGAGGGGGGGGAAATCTGTTTAAATCTTGAATTTTGAAGCTGCTTTGATCAAATATTTTATGGTTGATCTCATTTGATCTAATCTCTTACATTTCTTGACATGATTTTAACTGAGATAGTTATATATTATTGAAAAAATATGAAAGTGATTATATAGTTAAAACTTAGAATATAATCATGATTAAATAAAAAATAAAACAATGATTTTATTTGATTTTAATTTTATTCTTCATATAAAATTAAAAAAAAGAAAAAAAAAAGAAAAAAAAATTAAAGTATATTTTAATATTATTTTAAATCTTTAGAATTATTGTCACAGACTCCGAGTGTGTTGGTGGAAGCCCCTGGCTTTCCACCCCCTAACCTTCCGCTCCACCCTCTGGCCCCCATTCCTTCCTTCTTCCGCCCACACTTAGGGCCCGATTATTTTCTTTCCTATTGTAGCCCCGCGATCGCTACTTCTATGATTGCAACTTGCAATCGCTCCTTCTACGATCACAATGGGCATGTTATTTGTATATAACAGAGGACGTACGCCCCCCGATCTTGGAAGAATCAGACTGAGAAGATGTTTTTGAAAAAAGAGATGGTATCATTACGGTCGTTCTTACGGCTATGTCAACGATAGTTAAAAAACTAGAATTGATAGGGGTTTCTGTATCTATTGGCCACGCTATACACACACGTAGGCGGATACATGCGTATATATATACACATGAAACACTTGTCAAAATCTATTTCCATGTCAATAATAAGGAAGAAGAAGAGATATATGTATAAAATAAAAAGGATATCAAACATAAATCACATGTGTGGTGTGTATGCCTAACGTCCTAGGCCATCTCATCCGTTCCGGTTCCCGCTTACATCGCGAGAAGAAGGAAAAACAAAAGACACAAAAGGAAGAAAAAAATGAAGAAAAAAATGAAGCAAAAAAACTCGACTTAGTTACAAAATCTTTTTTGTTCTTTTTTCTTTCCTTTCTTAATCCTAATTCTCAGCGAGTTTCCGCTCAATATCATCGTTGCGCGTTTCAAAGTCGCCAGTCGGCAAGTTATTAAGCGTATCTTCTTCCTTATCGGTACTGCGGTTGGTGATCCAGAAGCCGACACCACCGACGAAGGCAAGGATGGCGGTGACAGCGTAGTTCCACTCGAGCAGGGGATCCTCAGACAGGCCGACGAGTGCTTGGCCAAGGGCGGCAGAGAAGGCATTCATGAACAGGGCCACGGCCTGGACCAGGGAACGCATGTTCTTGGGCGCCTTGGTGAAGGCGTACTCAAGACTAGTTACCGAAGCAAAGATTTCGGAAACACCACCAAGTACGTACGGGACGGCTTGCACCCAGACGGAGATGGGGGCGGGGATATCGTCTGCGGCGCATACGTTGGCTTCCTTCCCGCAAGGCCCAGTTTGTAGATGTAGTACTGAATTACTGTGGCAGCAATCATACTGGAACTTGCGAGGAAGAAGCCAATGGTGATGCGTTTCACAGGGGTAAGCTTGATGCCAAGCTTTCGGAGCGGGGGGTAGAAGAATCTGTCAAGCAGAGGGATGAAAATGATGAGCGTGAAAGGGTTGAGGTTGGTGATGATGTCATTAGGCACTCCATTGAGCAACATGGTTGCGGCCTGGGACGTGAGGTTGTTCAACATTTGATTGTAGGAAAGCCCTGGAGAGAAGGTATCGTGTTAGAGAAAACGAAATAGGCAAGGGGGAGGAATGGAATAGTACGTACAGTAAAGTGGGTACCACAGGAAAACGGCACATGCTTTGAGACCACGGCGGACCTCATCAACCCACGCATCGTCAAATGTCATCCATTCTGGCTTGTTGGCAATGTTGCTGGGCTTGACTCTTTCCCACATGTCTGGGTCGTGGAAGTTGCGGTATCTGTTCCTCATCTGTAAGTGAATGGTAGAGCAGGCAAACTATGGAGATACTTACGTCCTCGCAGGGTTCCATGACACCCGGCCGTTGATAGCCATCATCCATACCTTAAAGGCTTTGTCGTACACCGAACCAACAGGCTTGTGCCGGCTGTATTTGTTGCGCAGAAGATAGAGGACCATTGGGCACAAACAGAACATGCAAGTGGGGAGGAGGAATGAGAGATAGAAGCCGACATATTTCTCAGCGTAAACCATGGCGATTTGCCCAATGAGAGCTCCAATGTTGATCATGAGATAGAAATAATGGTAGATTCGGGAGACAGTGACAGCGGGGTCGACAATCACGCGCTCGCCTTTCTTCGTCGTCTTGATAAACATGTATTCCTCAGTGTACTGCTCTGCAATCAGGGGGGAAATATTGGATCTATGACAAATAGGTTAGATTGGAGGATTCATCGACAGAAGGTTAGTTTGAAGAGAAAACAAAAATTCTTACTTGAATCCACCAGTTCCCACTCCCATGATGATAAGGCCAACCGCAAAGCACGCGACGGCACCATTGGGGTTTTTCAGCACGGGGGGGATTGCTGAAATGATCAAAACCGTGTGTCCGACGAGTGCGACGGCGATGGAGTACATAATGGTGTTAAAGCGACCCCAATACTGATCGGCAACATAGGCGCCAGCCAGTGGCATAACATAGGACCAAAAAGAATTGACTGCATCCAGCGGTTAGATTTAAGGGCAAATTGGATTTGGTCTCGTTAAGCCAAAGAGCACTTACACAAAGTTAGACCAGTGGAAGCCCGCTGCCCCAAGCCCAAGGCACCAGGAGTGCGATGAGTGCCGCCGGCACCGGTGGTGGAGCCTTCAGGCAGGTCCCGCTGGATGAAGTTCACAACTATGTAGATTCATGGGTGTTAGTAGTTATATCAGAGCCATCATTGGAATCGGGTGGTGAAACTCACACACGACAATGGTTCCATAGTAAGAGAACCGTTCGCACAACTCGACGAAGGCGATAGAGAAAGCAAGCCATGGGATTTTATCGGGAACACGGCGGAGGGTTTCAATCTCGTCTGGCGTGGGCGCCTGTCGATTAATGCTTTCGAGACTGTCATGGTCACTGGTATAGACAGTGGCCCCTATTGCCTTCTCATTGCTGCCCGCAACTGCACCTTTGTCAGATGAACCGCTGCCAGCGGCCTTTTGAATCTCAACTTCTTGGGGAGTAGCCATCCTCGCGATTGTATGAGAACCAAGGTGAACCGGTTGGTTTGGATATCGCTTCGCGGGCTGGGCCTGAGAAGAGAAGAAGGGGTAAAAGCTCCATCCACGAACGGGGGTATATCCCGTTATATGTAGGAATCTTTAAAATCGCCTGTATAGAAACGGACAAACTCCAGATCTTCGGCTTGGGCAGCGGGGTTGCAACGCTGGCTCGGGGCCACCCCTCATCAATCATAGCAGAACTTGTGTCAATTGGGTCAAGGTCAACAAGGGTCATTAATTGAGGTTGAGGCTAACAGGATGGGACTATGGTCGATGTCCAGCAAATACAGTATGAGTTCCATATTACTTCTAGCCAGGGTCAAGAGAGTCAGAGCGAGCATGCCCATGCCAAGCATATCTCCTCCTCCCTGTTTGTGCTGCAACGCTTAACAAAGGAAGAATACTTCACCCAGGCGTGGCCGTTGGCATAGCTAGTACGGGGTATCCATACAATCACCCGAGCGGGCAGCGAAACTCCGCATATTGGGAAAGTTTGCTCATAGGCGCTATCGTGCGCTAATGCGACAAGCCTTTGGCCTTTTGTTCGGAGGAACCCTTGTGCAACCACACTGAGAAAAGTAATTAGTTTTTGCGCGGCAGCTCATCCACTGGTATTCATCAAATACAGGAGACAATGGGATGTGGAGCCTTGTGACAATCTCCCTGCGGGTTATCCCACATCCAAAAGGATTAAATAAACAATAAAATAAAATAAAATAGACAGGGCATTCATGTCTATCCCGCCGAGCGCTGGGGATCGGGAGGAAGTAGAGAGAAGAGGGAGGAGTACCTCGAATTGGGCTTCCTGCCGTGAATTGATGCGGTGATGGTGGACCAGGTTAGGGCTGGGACCAAACCGAATTAGGGTTCAAAGCTTGAAAAAATTGTAGCCAAGTTTGCCATATGTCCTGATTTCCTGGGTTGCAGCAGGAGAAAAGCAATCTCCGAAAGCCTCATCCAATCCGCTGACATTCCCACTTCGCATTTGGTTAAGGAACCCGGGATCATAATTGGTGGGATTACGAGTGGGGAACCATTGGACGGGACAAGCACTTGACCTTCCTCGCTGGCCTCTTTTTTAGCTACAAAGCCTGCGAGTGTGCCAACGCGCCAAGTCTCGGCGAAGGAGCAAGATATTTATCTCCCCACCTCCGAGTCTCCGACGGACGTGCTTTCTGAGATCTTGGCTCTGTGTTTGTGCGGGACAAGAGACTAAGACACCCAGCCAAAGAAAGCGCCGTATCGCCAGTATCGCCATCATCGCCAAAGATGACGAGGAACCTTCGCACCCAGATCTGAAAATGTGTCTTGTTTTTCATGGACTTGCTTTCGGATGATGTGAGACCTAGTGATACGATCCCATCCTCATTTCTGCGGCCTGCTCGTGTGGGACATTTCGCTTCCCCGCGGTTAACGACTGCCCAGTTTTGGCCTTCCAGGGCCTCACAGGACAGGTCTAATCCAGTTCAGGAAGTTGACAACATGGAATGTGGCGGAAAATAGCATTCTCCCCCCGAAAAGCTTGGCAGGCATGCTCCATTGTAACCATAGGCAAAATCAAGCATGTGCTTAGGCCGAGATGGGTGGTGAGAATGCAAATTATTCGCCAGCGAATGGATATATCAATTTTAATGGAGGGCATTAGTTAATACAACCACAGTGGCAGTCGTTTTTCCCTCCTCTCGTGATTTTTGCATCACCATCTTTTGGTGTATCCGGACGCAAAAAACTCAGACTGATAATAGGATAATAGGAGAGCATATGTGGCTAATACGAGACGTTTGGGGTTGAGAACCGCGATGTCCCTTCTCTTCCTTCCTTTCTTTCTTTCTTTCTTCCATTCTTTCTTTTTGTTTTGACAATTCCGGCCTCGGTTTTATCACAGAATGGCGCCAGTGATCGACGTCTCGCTAAAGCAGCCATCCATTGGTCCTGCAGATTGCCGTCCTATGATTGGGCGGACTTGTTCTGTGCTCGGCGCCACTGCACGGCAATTGTCAAGTAATCCCGCTCATTCTTGGCGCCAAGACGCGGATCTGCCAAGGCCTGGACGTGGACGGGCTTACCCGAAGAAATGAATGAGCGCTATTTTATAATAGTCCATAGAAAGAATAATAATAAATAAAATACTCCGTATGTTGCGCAGCGTTGTTTTGGCAGGATGACAAATGGCTCTCGGTAGCGCTTATGCCTCAACGATTTCTGCAAGCGAAACGAGGGCATGGTTGAGAGAATAGATGCTGACATGTTGGCATAAGTGACAAATATTATTTTCATAATTGTTGCCACAATACTCCGTAATGGAAAGAGTCCAGTCCTGCATCAGCAGGCGAGGGGAAAACTGGGGAAGCACGGAGGTAGTTCAAAGTAGTGTGCATTATCCTTTTTATTATTCTAGAACCAGGAACCAGGAATCATGAATCATGAATCAGGAATCAGGAATCAAGAGGCGGCCCCATTTTTTCTTGCAGCACAGACAGCATCGGACAAAAGTAGTGACAGACTGCCTGCTGCTGAGAAGAGAAGAGTCCTGGAGGGAGGATTCCCTCAATACCCCAGGTGGGAGTCGAACGAACTCCTTTTCCGAAGAATCCTGACTAGTCAATCCTGTACGGAGTGGGCATGGTCGCTGTTTGGACCCCATCCCATAATAATTCGACGGCTGGAGATGCTTCAGATGATGCGCACACGATGCTCATGCAGCCAGCCAACTTGCCAATTAATGGCGCGACTAAGCTTTGGCATTTGACTGTGCCAATTTTTAGGGCCTTAGCAGGCTCAGTTCTTGTCCAGGCGGAACAGCAACAAAACCTTCCTTGCGTAAATTGACTTTGGTGGTGTTGCTTGGGTTGTATCATCTCCGTTCCAGAGGCCCTTGGCAGCCGTAGCGTGATCCGCCACATGGGGAATCTCATCTGCTCGAACGGCTGATTGGCCCTTATCAGGTCTTGGAGAGGGGAAATGGAACCCGGTGCGGGATGGCTGCTGGTTCGCTCTGGCTCGGAGCGGCCGAAAAGCGCGTATCCTCGACCCGAGTTTATCTGTCTTGACGTGGTTTCTCGGCTTCTTGTAGAGATATTTTCTCGAGAAAATAGGGCAAGGGAAAAAAAAAAAAAAAAAAAGTTGAGATAAAGAAAGTATTTGCCGGTGTCTCTTCTGCCAGTGCTGCGACACTGTCTTGGGGCGATTTGACAAACCAATTCCCGTCCATCAAGCACCCCCTGGCTCGCTTGCGTCTGGCGAATTTTTGAATTTTTGATACAATGACGGACTCCACGCCATTCACGATGGAGGGAAGGTATACGCGGTTACAATAATGGGGGGCCGGAAACCATAATCTTCATTCAATTTCGTGCTGCTTACCCCAGTCTCTTCTTTGCCAACTCGAAACACCGAGATCTATCCGCATCGCGTCGGGCAATGCGATGCGCTGGGGTCCGTTTTATGGCCCCATGGCCATGGTCCATAGACAAACAAAGTGATAAATCCATGAATCCATGAATCCGGGGTTCCCTCCCGATTTGAACAAGGCGTTTGCGGGACTTGCTTCTGCACTGTTGGGTTGTGAGACTTACTACGGAGTATGTTCTGTTGGGTTGAAGCTTTCTGTTAACTTAGTTAACTAGTTAGTTCTGGGGAACGTTTCATTACATAAAGCTCGTCGACCAGCCGCTTCTCGTCTCCTCATATGCCTCCAAACAAAATGCGGGCATTTTCGACTGAGATATCAACTCTTTGATTTCCACCAAAATTCTCTACTACTTACTACGCAGCGTATACGACAGAGGATTTCTCCTGATCTGCCACTGCTGCTGGTAGCTTGCGCGCTAGTTAGTTCCGGATTTAAGCATTTTATTCCGGGTTCTGCCTTTTTCCTTCGATTTTTATTCTTCGCTTCTTCTTCGCGCCTCTGGCTGAAAGTGGCTTGGTGGCGCAAACCGCCCCCAGATTGGCAAAACAGAAGTGGACATCAACAGACGATCAGGACGATTACGATTCTCTACAGCGTTTCAATTAACTTTATTATCTTTTCCCAACCGCCTCATGCTGATGGCTGACTCCATGAGTGAGCCCGGGTTTGACCTCTGATTGTGGTTTTGGCTGGAATGGATTTTGGCTAGGCACGCACCGGCTTTCTCAGACTCAGACGACTTTTCTCTTGTCCTGCAAACAGACCTTCGTGGAATGGTTTGCTTGAGGAATCATCCAGGTTAGCGCGCTTTCCGCGTCCATTGGATGGGTGCTGCGTGGAAATTCCGCGGAGTCCGGGGGTGGATTTCGATATTGGGGATCGGCAGGGCTCAGCTCTGATTATTTTTTCTCTCAGGACCACTGGAACATGTTTGGTCAAGCGCCTTTGGCCTTCTCTTTTCTTTTTTTGTTTTTTCAAAGCTTGTCCTGCTCTGGTTTAACGTTAGTTTCTGGGGTAATGCCTTGGCTGCAGCGGACCTCGATGATATATCCCTGCAGGCGCCAGAATCCCTGAGCAGCAAGGGTGCGGATGCGGCGCGAAGCAAAACGAGTATTTTTCATGGCTGGGCATCGAAAAGCGCCGGCTACACACGGTAGTAGATACTTGCTGTCTAGGAACTACTGCATGATTCAATTAATCCGATAGTTTCTTTGCTTCCCTCGCCCCTCCAAAAACCAAAAACCCCGACTCACCCATGTTCCAATCCAAGTCGTTGGTCATCTTTTAGTCCGGGATCTTCATGCTGGGCCAATCTGATGTTTGACATCCCCAGCTCCTTGTTAAACGACATGCTGTCTCTCAATCCTGCCTGCGCTCACCACCCCGTCTGACATGGGTGCTTCTCACCTGTCCTGTGAGTTCTGAGCGCATTATTGGCAAGGCTCAATGCGGCCAGGAGTGCAAAAAACAGAATGCAACCATGATTGGGTTTTTTTTTTTTTTTTTCCCTCAAGTATTCGACAACGATGCAAGCTAGGATCCCGCATGTTGCGGATCTCCCCTGCCAAACAACGGGTGTTTTTTGACTTTGGGGATAGAACAGCGTACTGTCGTTGCAGCTTAAAAATACCGGTTTTGGCATGGACAAACCCCGTCGTCCGTGCACCATTTTGAACCATTTTGAAAGACGGGGAGGAAATTGAAAGTCAAAAATCCACCTTGTCAAACTTACACCCGTGGATAATCATGGAAACACAGCAACCCAACAACTCATCAATAACCGTTTGTATGGAGCTAACCAGATAATCCGCGGCTCTCCCAAAGCATGCGATGTCATGTCCTAGAGAGGAGAAAGTGGACAGTTTCTCGCCCGAGATGCGCCTTTTGCGCCATTATGTTTTATTCACAGTAACTAACCAAGCTCGCAAAAATGTCTGCTGAATTGTAGAGGCTTATGTATATTTTGAGCACATTATGATATCATTCAGGTCTAGAGAATTTGTGGTTCTTATTTTGGGGGGAGAGGGCAGCGCTTGATGTCGACACAGCTTCATCGCATATGGTCTATGGAAACCTAACCCATGGAGAAATCCCAAATTATTTCTCTGAGAATGAAATTATAGTTGAATGTAGCTACTTAGCAGGTTATCTATACGCCTGGGTAGGTAGGTGGTATGCATTCTTTGAAATCTACTACTCTGTATTCCTTCAACACAACATCAGATATGAGTAGAATATTAGAGATATAAGTATATTTTTTGAGCAGAGAATATAGGAATATAGTAGTATCAAAAAGAATTTAAACATATTAAAGCTTTTAACTACCAATTTGAAAATCACTAGCAGATTTACATATCATTAAAATCTCACTCATATCTAATGTTGTGTTGAAGATATTAATTTTCTTTAATATATATCTTTTATATGGTGAGCTCATACAAAGATACAAGTTGCATTCGTGGTGATAATAGCATTGTGGTGAGGCGCACAACCACAGAGATGGTGGGGGAAGCGTGTTCCCACACTCCTTTTGAGGCTTCTTCCGCCCATTTAAAAAATTGGGTCAGCTACAACAATACTAATTTGGGAGAACTCACGGATATTGATCAGCAAAGGCCGGTATCCACAGCGGATGGGAGGAATTGAATTCATATAAAACGATTATTTGAGGGATGTCAAGTCATACTACCGCATAGTACTCATCTCCGACGGACGTTGCCAAAATGCCATCATAGAAAAGTATATGCATACATACTATGTACTCTCTTTAGGAGGGTACCAGGAAATATTAGCTAGAGCACTAATAACGACCATCCAAAACCCATGTACAGTACATGTACATCCGTACCCGGAGGAGGGTTGTGCTTGAAGTCAACAATCTATGTCAAAAGGATCGCCAAACCCGGTGAACAAGCTATCCAGTACAGACATATCGACATACGGGTACTCTTCACAGTTCGGCAAGGAGGGCCTGAATTATTACTTATTCCAGCCTCAATCTTCTCTAACATATCACTGCAATTCCCGAGGCAATTATCAGCGAGGTCCTACGAGAAATCCCGCCTGGGGTGTTGTAGGGCATCAATCATATCCCTTGCAATCTTTAGTGGTGTGTTATTGTTATGCGCACTCGAGTTTCTGGATCTCAAAGCACTCCTCAATAAAAATGACATTGCAGAGGTCAACGTAAACCCATTTGCCGGGATCCAGAATCCACGGCAATGAGACTCATCCAGCTCCTGCACAAAGTGGACAATATCCTCGGCCGCTCTCTGAGCCCGCAGGTAAAACGGGCAATCAAAAGTCTCCTCCACTGGTAATGGACCCCGATCTCGGTCCAGCTGAATCCGCCGCAGGAGAGGTTTCACGGCTAAATATGATAGGCGCAGATTTGCAGCGCCGGGGGCATCAAGGTGCGTTCCACGCATGACTGCTTTACGAATATCGTCGCTCAAAGTCTGCTCCCATTTTCCAAGTAGAAGCTTAGGGTTAGTGGCGGATATTTCGAACGGATCAGGAGAGCTCTTTGCAACGTGGTAAATGTACTCTCTAAGTAGCGACCTAATACATCAGTGAGCGTGATGAGAGAAATAAAAACTGAAGTCGCAGCTATGCTGGATGGTGACGCGCCAGGGGGGCAGAGGCCCTCTGCATTTGGGATCGGAACATCATGCTGCGCGCGATGGATCTGCATCGGGGTGCCATATGCCAAACTACACCTGTGATGAATTGTTAATTCGACCCCGTGAGGGCTGGAAGACACAGAAACAGGGTGAGAAAAGAGGCTCTCTCACCAACGATCATGTACAACAATCATCCGCCACATCCTAATCCGAAGTTTCTTCTCTGAGGTGGATATATTCCAACCGGACGGATCCCGATGTAGGCCCAGCGCGTTGGAAAGCGCAACTGCCAAGCCAATCAATCCCCCATCGGCTAACATCGTGGTGCTTGGTCTGCCGCAAACATCAAGCATAAGGGCCATCACTGTGGACATTCCAGGAGGCAGAAACATTTCCGAATGGACCGCTTCGCACGACTGCGCCCAAATGAAGTTAACATCCGGGTAGCGTATGTTGCGAAATTTGGGCGAGTCATGCCAGTATACCAAGGCGCTCGCATATATGGTGGAGAGCGGTGCTAGGGAGATTTTCCGTTGATGATTCAAGTATGTATATCTGAAAGATTCCTCATCGAGAATGGGGAGGCATATGTTTACCTTCGCGAAGAAACTAAAGTCAAATGAATGAAGCCTTATCAGCTTCCAACCTACCCACGGCTATTAAGATCATGGTCTGGCCGATACTCACAGATCTACCAGATCTTTTGCGTGTGGATCGATGAATTTTCGTTGGTGGAGCTATCCGAACCAGTCATCTACCATTTGGCTCTGCAGTAGATGTCACATAGCTCTCCAAGATCTCGCTATCATCCGTCATGGTAGGGGAAACAATGTGGGAGCCTTTGTTTCCACCATCAGCAAATATACCCACGCATCTTGGCTACTCCTCCTCTCGACCATCGTGGTGGCCAGGAGACTGCGAAGCCGCATATTCCACGGGGAAGCTCGAGTGGATCTCCGTTCGACCAGCGTACGGAGAAGAGTTCTGATCCGCAGCATTTGCGCGGCTTGGATTATCCCTGAAACGCCTAGCCTTGGATAGCGATTTTCGTGTAGAATGTCTTGGCCTATGCAAGGAAATCTTGTGTTTTTGTTGCGGGAATAGACATTCAGTCTCATGTACCTTACACATGGCGCAGCTGTCCGCGGTATCCCTCGTGATACATTGTGACTTTCGTTTTCTGCAAGCAAGGCAGGCTGGATGGGAGTGTGATCGATAGGGCCTCCGCGCCGCTTTCGATCGGGCTTTGACCACTGAAGCCCCTATCCATAGTCATTGAGAGAATTGGTTAAACGGTCACGAAATAGAGCTCACGGATCAATTCGAGCACAGAAGGATCATAAAGTGCAAAAGCGATCCTGTATGTGGGGGAGGCGTTTGCCGCGGGCACAGTCGCGGAAAGAAGCTTTCGTCTTCCCCGCGGCCAAGAAAACGGTCTCCAGCTAGGAACTCTTATCTTGACCCCCCACCGCAGATAAATGTTAAATATCTTACCTATAACAACAGTATTCCTCCTGGAGTATATCACTTCCACTCGCCGCTACTAGTTTGTTGTCATTCTCCTCTCCCATATTTTCGCCGGCCGAAGTTGCGCTATCCACCTCTACAGCATGGCTGTCAACGCCCAGAGTTTCTGGGCCAGGGCCGACAGACACCTGATGAGAACAGGTATCCCGTTTTCACCAGCTATAATAACCAAAGCCCAGGGTTCCAAACTCTACGATGCCGAGGGCAGGCAAATACTCGATTTCACTTCTGGGCAAATGAGCTCGCTCCTGGGCCATTCGCACCCTGAGATTGTGCAAGTCATCCAGAAATATGCGGGGGAGCTTGACCACCTTCTAAGTAACATGGTCAGTCCACCCGTGGTTGATCTTGCCGAACGTCTTGGTCGTTTACTGCCACCGCCTCTTGAGAAGTCCTTTTTCTTGAGTACCGGGGGCGAAACCATCGAAGCTGCGATTAAAATGGCCAAGACGTACACTGGCAAGTTTGAAATTGTCGCCTTCTCGGCAAGTTATCACGGCTTGACTCAAGGTGCAATATCGGCAACGTACTCAATGGGCAGAAAGCATGGAGGCCCTGTCATGCCCGGGCAACTCGCCTTCCCCGCCCCGTATGCATACCGCTCTATATTTAGGAAGGCCGACGGTTCGTACGACTGGGAGACGGAGATGAGCTACGGGTGGTCCTTGATCGACACGCAATCGGTGGGCTCACTCGCTGCCTTCGTGATGGAGCCTATTTTGTCCACGGGCGGAGTCCTGGATCTCCCCAATGGGTATCTCAAGCGGATGAGCATCGAGTGTAAAAAGCGTGGAATGCTTCTGATCATGGATGAGGCACAGACAGGCGTTGGTCGGACAGGTCAGATATTCGCCTTCCAACATCACGATGGGGTGGTTCCTGATATTTTATGTCTGTCGAAGACGCTGGGTTGCGGTCTACCTCTATCCTCCGTTAGCACCACTGCTGAGATTGAGCGAGGCTGCAACGAAGCTGGCTTCATGTGGCTCACAACACACTATAACGACCCTTTAGCCGCCGCCGTTGGCAACAAGGTCCTGGAAATAGTCGAGCGAGACAACATCTGCCAGCGTGCATCCGCCCGTGGTGAGCAGTTATTCAACGGCCTCCTCGCTCTCCAGAAGAAATATTGGTGCATTGGCGACGTCCGTGGCCGTGGTCTTCTCCTAGGGATAGAGATAATCTCCGACCCCGAGACGAAAGCGCCAGCTCCTGCCCTGGGCCAAATTGTTTCAGATCGAGCTTTGGCTCGCGGATTGTCGTGCAATATCATCGCATTTCCGGGGATGGGTGATGTGTTCCGTTTGGCGCCTCCCGTGACTGTGACTGCTGAGGAAATTGAGGAGGGGCTTCAGATCCTGGATGAGGCTTTCGCGTTCGCGGTAATGAAGCATGGTTTGGGCATCTGATTGTGAACCTGAGTTTTGCGCTGTTGCTTTTTGCGGAGATGGCAAAATTCGATACCCTCTTATTGATCAATCTACTTGCTCCTTTCCGCGCATTTGAGTCATCGCTCTATATCAATCTCCAGAGCGATTTTGATATGATCTTAGGCAAGTCTATTTCTGCTCTCTGGCCCCTTTTGGGATCAGCTCAAGCCAATCGCAGTTTTTCAATTGTTCAATTACCCCTGAATCACGTGCTTCTCTCATCTGCTCCTGTCCAAAGCCAGAATGTCTGAATAAAGTAAATCCTGAATCCAAATAACGATCAAGACTCGATTCTTGCTCCCTATTTTGCGATGGTTACCATATACCGAGTATTGGGATGTAAATCTTCGAGCAGGCCAGGGGAACGGAACTCCAACTGTTTTGCACCAGGCGTTAACAGAGCCATATCAGGGTAACCTACGGCAGCTAATGAAGAATATCCAAGTCCCCATTTTACGAGCCTTTCATCAACGACTTTTCTTCCTAATAGCCTCGAGCTTAGCACGACAGGCTGAGATCGTGACATACTCCTTACAAGTTCGCAGGTGAATGCAACGAGAAAATATCGCGTGGCGAGGACTCCGTTAATTGTCTAGCCACCAACAACACTTTTTTTTATACTACAGCTAGCAAACCACCATCTCAGCCTCCTGATACATATCTAAATATGTCCAACCCGTTATCCAGCAATGGCGGCAGCTGGCAGCCTCCACCGCTAATACCAATACACGCAGCAACACCACCACCACCACGGCCGCCGGTACCAGTGCCAGATCCTAACCTTGAAGAGCTAGAGTTGATGATGAACTGGTATAATATCGATATACACCCTTTCTCAACCAACCTCGAATACAAAGCCGTGTGGCAGAAGGCACTTCAGCAAGAATCCCTCACCCACCTGTTCCTGATGCATGGGATTCTAGCACTATCTGCCCTTGAACTTGGGCGCAGGAAAGGGTGCGATGCCACCAATGTCAATCAACGATCATACACAGCCATCGCCCTTGGCCATTACTTGAGAGCTGTTGCCCTATCCCAGCCAGTATTAAAAAACATCAATGAGGAGAATTGCAAAGCCGTGTTTCTACTCCCAACTCTTCTTACCGCCTTTGCATTCGGGTCTCCACAACAAGCCTGGGATCTAGGGAATAGCCGCCACCCTATTGCTCGGTTTCACCTTGTTCTTCTTCTAGCAAGAGGGATGGGGCAGGTACAGTCTACCGCGATAGACAAGATGAAGGATGGCAAATTTGACACCCTTATTAAACCAGATAGCTACAGCCCCTGGCTACCTGCTGACGCAAAAGCAGCACTATGTAACCTTCACCAGCTCAATGAGAACTGTGAACAATACAGCATCTCCGAGAAGAACATTTACAACACAACAATCAACCAGGTTGAGATCATGCTGGGGCAGATTCACGTGGCCGCGACAAGGCCCAATCCAGCAGTTATGTGGGCAACAGAGGTGCCACCACTGTACTTGGAGCTTATGAGGGCATATAAGCCCATGGCGCTTGTTGTCCTGGCTCATTACTGTGTTATTTTACACCATCTTAGGGGGATATGGTGGGTTGATGGATGGAGTGTCCCACTATTGCGGGCAGTATGGTTGTTGTTGGGTGATGAGTGGAGACAATCGCTTCGATGGGTGGTAGAGGTGACGGGATTTGTACCTTAGCAATGTCAGGCAGGTGTGGTTGTACTAAGGTGATAATTGAAGGCCGTTCGACATGCTGGGAAATATCGGCTTTGGAATGTCGCCGCCGAAAATGGAGAGTTGAAGCGCAATTCTTTGCAAAAGCTACATCTTGTCTAGACGACTATTACAGGTTCAAGGTGGTCTTCAATGCCGCAGAAAGAAACATAAACTTCGTCATCCAAAAGAAGTAAAGTACTGTCCAGCTAGAAATCTCATCCTCTGTTGCTGAAATTTAGCTAACCAACTCCTTACCTCCTTAGAGTCCTTGCCCCGTTTGCTACCGTTCCTCATCGCTATGTATTCTTTGGCTGGGACAGACACAGGGCTGAATTGAAGGTTGCTCAGAGCAGAAGGGCGTCAATTGAACTAAATTTTATATTTCAATATACCGAAGGAGAAACGTGGTAGTTCGCTAATCAATATTTTCTGTAAATCCCATGCACCTTGAGAACTATCGTAGCAATAAAAAAAAGCAGACTTATTACCAGTAGTTGTCAACAGCAAAGAGAGCTCAGTTCTACCTAGATATGAGGGACGCCCTTCGCGGCTCGGTAGTGTCCCGATATCCCCGCCTTTGACATCGCGACTGATAAAAGAGCCCACCTACAAATACGCCCCCACCGGCAACTCTTAAGTACTGGCGCGATAAGGTAAATTCTTCCGGAATGTTGTCACTTACATGTAAACATCACGTTCCATATAAATGTTGCGCGGCTCTCGCTTTATTTCCGTCAAAGCGCAGAGAGCAAGGGGACCTGGGCCAACCCCGCATCGCGCCCCTTTAGAAGGAATATCCAGCATCAAAGGCGGCGGTGACAACGGTCAGGACAATCACCACTATGACAACCATGACAACCAACCCCAAACCCTCCATCCTCTACGCTACAAGCCAATGGGAAAAATTCCAACAAAACTTCACAATAATCCCCCACACCTCCCGGTCCAAAGCCGAATTCATCCACGCCCTCCAACCAGGCGGTCCCTACTCCACCATAAACGGCACACTGCGTCCCGCGATCTCAAAACCACAAACCGACCTCCCGCTCCTAGACAAAGAACTCATCTCCCCACCTCCCCACGTCCTGCGAGATCATCGCGTCCGTCAACCACGGCTACGATGGCATTGACACTGACGAACTGGGGCGCAGGGGGATCTGGTACTGCAACGGCGCCGGCGCCGCAAATGACTCGACAGCGGACATTGCGCTGTTTCTGATCCTCGCGGCGTTCCGGTACACAACGTTCAGCGAGGGAAGGTTGCGCGAGATGCGCGCGGCCAGCTACTTCAGTATGGAGGGGGATGTGTTGCCGTATGCGAACACACCGCGCAATCGCATCCTGGGCGTCGTGGGGATGGGAGGGATTGGGGGGGAGATTTCAGTCCGGGCGCGGGCGGAAGGGGGCCGATGTCGAGGGGTTGCTAGGTGGGGCGGTGTACCATCCCACGCTGAAGGGGATGTTGGCGGTGGCGGACTGTGTGGTGCTGGCGTGTCCGCATACGCTAGAGACGCATCATATTTTCAATCGGGAGACGTTTGCAGCCATGAAAAAGGGGGTGCGGCAGGTGCGTTGACGAGAATGCGCTAGCGGATGCGATTTGAGGATGGCACAGTGGCGGGGGCGGGGGGGGGGTTGGATGTTTACCGTGATGAGTGAGTGGGTTTATCATTTCTGGCTCTATTTCTTTCCTCTTTTTTTTTCTCTTTTGTTGCTACTGGTGCTGCTTCTATGACTAGTAACTATGAACTAGCATGAGAGGGATGAGGTTTACTGATCAGACTATATCCAGATATCCAGGCCGGTGGTCAACCCCAGATTGTTGGATAATATGAGGATAACATTGCTGCCGCATATGGGAGGCGCATGTGTTGATACCCACGAGGTAAGAAATTTCCCTCTCGCTGTCATACAACATATGTAAGATAGTAGTAGCAAACAAAGCAATCAAGATTGCTGCTCCCTGTCTAGGGCTGGCGATTCCAACAGCTGTGTAACATTCTTCAAAGCAACTGATAACTCACTGATGATCTTTCGTCCTTTTTTGCAGAATTTCGAGCGAATTGTCATGAACAATCTTGAGGCATACTTCCTCGGTGACGGCAAGCCAATTTACACCTGTTAACCACGTCCAGGGATAGATCTTTTGAAATGAAAATAACATAGATTTATAAATCATTAGATTCAAACTTATTTTGATAACTAGTACGCAGTAGCCATCTCCTGCAGCTAGTGAGTTAGTTAAACCGGGGATAGCATCGGCGGGCAGAAAAAATTAACCTTAACTTACAGCGTTAAAGAGAAAGAAAGAAATGATGTCAAAAAGATTGATCCGAGTCGAACTTGTCAATATGTTATTATTATATTAGCAGCAGGCACGTTTTTCATCTCTCCTCCTGTAGCTAATTATTGTAGTTATCTATCTCATCCTTATTCAATATTTTCTTATATCACTACGTACCAATTCCCGGTAAGTTTGGAATTCTGCTCGTGGTTTAAGTGAACTTGCCACTCAAGGCTATCGCCGGTTCTCCAGGGTCGTTATTATTATTATTATTATCATTATTAACTTACTGTGTTCTCGACCGCTTGACCGCTGTGATTGCTGTAGGTACGGTGGAACATATCACATCCCATCTTCGATACACCAATTTTTTTTTATTACCTCTGAGGGTGTTGATTAATCCCGCTGCGATATAAATATATCTATTATACATTTTCTTTCGTGATTTGTTCTTTCCTGCATATGTAATCTGACATATTTTATTCTCTAGGTATAGATAGGAGGACCTGGAGCATTGTTCTCGGACCTGCTTGATATTATTGCAATCTTGATATACATATATCCCCCGCAGATTGGGCGGCGTTGATTTGATACAATCATCTAGAGCGGAATATTTATCCTCAAATTGCGGAGAGGAGCTAAAAAAGAAAGGCCGGGAGACAGTTCCGCCGCTCTCAAGAACACACCACCCACATATCAAGGGATATCTCTCATTCTCCGCTTCAAGCTATCTGTCTATATACATCATCCCGCCAACTCATGACAGAAACGGAGCAAGGCTCACTCCACAATGGAGTGGGCCTATCACTCCGCCCAGAAGCCCGCGTCCTCATTATCATGACCGGCGGCACAATCTGTATGCAACCCTCTGACTCCGGCTTCATCCCCGCCCGTGGCTTCCAAAAGACAGCCCTGGAACCCGTCCCCACCTTCAACGACAAATCCAACCCAGAGCCCCTCGATGTCGTCGTCAACAGCAGAGGTGAACGACGACCACACGAGAGCCTCCGCACCCCGCCAACCGCCTATGGCGGGCGCGTGCGCTACACGGTCTTCGAATTCGAAGAACTGCTCGACAGCAGCTCGATAGACTCAAATGGCTGGGCCCAGATCGCCCTCACCATCTCCTGGAACTACACGCTCTTCGATGCCTTCGTTGTCCTGCACGGCACGGACAGTCTAGCCTATACGTGCTCCGCGCTCAGTTTCATGCTGCGCAACCTGGGCAAGCCGGTGATATTGACCGGGTCGCAGGCGCCCATGCTCGAGCTGCAGAATGATGCGACAGACAACCTGCTCGGCTCGCTGGTGATTGCGGGCAATTTCATGATTCCGGAAGTGTGCTTGTATTTTAACTATAAGCTGCTGAGGGGCAATCGGGCAACGAAAGTATCCGCGAGCGCGTTTGCGGCGTTCGATTCGCCGAATTTCGCACCCCTGGCTGTCACAACGGCCATGAGAACCAATGTTGCTTGGGATCTCGTACATAGACCGACGCATCTTGAGCATTTTAGCATCCAGATTAACCTGGATACGACGCACGTGGCGTGTCTGAGGATATTCCCTGGAATTAAGCCGGAGATGGTGGATGCTGTGTTGCGCCTGGAGGGGCTAAGAGGCCTTGTGCTTGAGACGTTTGGGGCCGGAAATGCACCAGGTGGTCCAGATAATGCAATGACAAATGTGCTCGCGGCAGCGATAAAGCGCGGGATTGTCATTGTCAACGTTACGCAATGTATTACTTGGTTTTTTTTTATCTTATTTTTCCATACTTACTCCCTTCGCTGTTGAAACTGCAACTAACTCACCACAACAGGCCTTTCCGGCAGCGTCAGCCCCGTCTATGCTCCCGGGATGACCCTCTACCGCGCCGGCGTCGTTGCCGGTCAAGATATGACATCGGAAGCCGCTCTAACTAAACTCGCCTACCTACTTGCACTGCCCGGAGCTACCCCTCAGTCCGTCGCGCGCGACATGTCCCTCTCCCTACACGGGGAACTCACCGAACACTCACAGCCGGTCTTCCAACACCCGGGCGGCAGCGTGCTACCGCAACGAGTGAAGAGTCTGGCAGCACTGGGCTACGCGATTGCGCACGGAAACCTCGAGAAAGTGAAGGATATCCTTCGCGGGGAGGAGGAGTGGATTTTAAACGATGCGGATTATTCGGGGAATACACCATTGGTATTTATGAGATATTTCTTTGGTTTTATTTCTGTTTTTTTGTTTCCGTCCTTGGTTCCCTGGCACATTCTTTGTGATTTTACTGCTGGAGGGTATGGAAGCCGGGAGAGCGGAAGGATTGTACAGAAGGAAGAGGCCAAGCCAATGAAAAAGCAAAAGACCCCGTTCTCTGAACATTTCCAAACCCTCCTCCGCCGCATAATACCTATTATTATATCACACACATATATCCCTTCCCCAAACCAACATATACATGCAATTACACAACACCGCACCAGGATTCTCCCCCAAAAAATACATACCCCCCTGCCCACCCAGCAAAATAAAAGAAAAAAAAAAAAAAGAAACGCCTACACCTCAATAATCACCTTGGCTCACACACAAAAACAACCACAAACAGCACCTCGCCGCAACATCCCCCAACCTCTCGATCCTCCGCCACTTCCTTCTCCACGGCGGATCCGTCCACTTACGAAACCGCGCGGGCCGAACCGCACTCTTCCTCGCCGCAAACGCGGGGCTGATCGAGCACGTCCGGCTGCTGCGGCAGTCCGGTGCGCATTTGCATGCTGACGAGCGGGCTGTGGCTGAGTTGCATGCAAGGCGGCAGTTGGGGAACGGGTTGGGATTGGGTATTTGGGGGCTTGCCGGTGTGGAGGTGGACGGCCATAGCGCAGGGGGAGGGGAGGAGAGCTGAGAAACGGGGTAGGGAGAAAAGGTGGATTGAGATTGGAATGAAAGAAAGAAGGAAAGGAAAGGGGTAATATGTTGGAAGGGAGAATGCGTGATTGGTGCCTTTTTCTTTTTTCTGGAATGATCTTTAAGGGGGTGACGGATAGAGAATTAACTAGAGAAGGTGTTTGTTCTACGGGGGGAATTTTCTTTGGGCGGCTGTTTTTGTCATGTTGTCAGTTCTGTTTCGAGGCGTTATATGGGATAGCGATGTTATTATAGGAGTTCTCTAATAAACAGGCGTGTGGTTCCGGGTGGTAATCTGAGAGTCGGGGACATCAAGCCGGGAGTCTCTGCTCCACACAACACCCCCCCGGCCTTGGCAATAATATGATTTGTCCGGAGAAATGTGTGCAAGCTAGCAGGAGCCACATTATATATATAAAAAAAAGCACAATACAGGCCAGTTTCTATCCGCACAGTGTAAATTATTATTGTTAATATTGTTATTGTCATTCTTTGTTATTATTATTGATATAAAATTGTCTCATGCTGCACCCAGAAGGCTTGCTTATAAAGCTCTCTCTGTGTCCATGGCTCAATCTCCATCGCAATTTGCTGTCAAATATTCGCCCTCCAATAGGGGGCAAGTTGAGCCAGCAATTTTTATTCGATACCAAAAGTAATAAGAAACATGAAACGAAATAAAGAACTTGAAGTTTCTTTCAAGTTTGTGCGGGAACCGCCGGCAATTCTGCTCTATCATCATGACATCAACGACCCGCCCACTGAGCCCCTGTTTTTCTTTTACCGCAGATGTTTACTTCTTTTCCATTATAAATATACAACATGCGGGTCCCCTTAAAAAAGCCCTCAATGTTACGCCTAACTTAAGCACTATAATAGAGTAATAGAGAGATATACTTATATTCTTTTTCTTAAAATCACACTTCAATTGCTCAAAAATTATCACCCATCGACGTTTAAAGTAATATCGAAGAAAAAAGGCAACCATGACCCAGCCCATTAAAACCGATACTTGGCTCGTCGAGGGTTCAAACGGCTTCGACAGCCTTAAACTTCATCGCGATGTCACAATTCCAGCACTGGGCGACTATGACTGTCTCGTCCAGATCCAAGCTGTCTCCCTTAATTACCGAGACCTCGTCATTCCACAGGTAAAACATCCCCCCCCCTACCATTTACCTCCTCAATTTCAAAAGCTAACCATATGTGAAAAACACAGGGCCTCTACCCATTCCCCCTGACCCTCCCTCGAATCCCCTGCTCCGACGGCGCCGGCATCGTCCTCGCCACGGGGCCCCGCGTCACCCAATTCCGCCGTGGCGACCGCATCTGCACCCTCTTCAATCAAACCCACCAAGCCAACCCCATCACGCGCACCTCCATGGCCTCCGGCCTAGGCGGCACGCTCGACGGCACCCTGCGCAAATACGCCGTGCTGCCCGAGACAGGCCTGGTCAGCGCGCCCAGCAACCTCAGCCCCGTCGAGGCAAGTACGCTCAGCTGCGCGCCCCTGACGGCCTGGAATGCGCTGTACGGCCTCGTGCCGCTGAAGCCCGGCGACACGGTGCTGACGCAGGGGACGGGCGGGGTGAGTCTTTCGGCCATCCAGTTTGCGCTGGCGGCTGGGGCGACGGTGATTGCCACGACGTCGTCGCAGGAGAAGATGGAGCGGTTGAAGAAGATGGGCGCGCAGCATGTGATTAATTATAAGACGACGCCTGAGTGGGGGGAGGTTGCGCGGTCGCTTACGCCTGGTGGGAATGGGGTGGATCATGTTGTTGAGGTTGGCGGGCCGGGGACGATGGCGGAGTCTCTGAAGGCTGTGCGGAAGGAAGGTGTTATTACGATTATTGGATTTTTGGGAGGTACGGGGGGTAAGGGGGAGAAGGAGCCTAGCATTTTGGATCCGTTGGTGCAGATTTGTACGGTTCGGGGCATCCTGGTGGGTTCAAGGCAGCAGATGGAGGATATGGTGCGGGCGATTGAGGTGAATAAGATTCAGCCGGTAGTGGATGAGAAGGTGTTTTCGTTTGAGAAGGCAAAGGATGCATATCAGTATCAGTGGGAGCAGAAGCACTTTGGCAAGGTGGTTATTAAGGTGGACGGTTGATTGGCCTTGTATTATACAGGGATGTGTATGTGAAAAGGTGGAACTATTCGAGCTGCAAACGGTTGACATATCATCTTTTTGATAAGCCTTTGCTCCAAGTCGAGCTTGCCGATGTCCATTCAGTCAGCAGCAGGAGAAACGGGTTTATTGAAACCCCAAGTAGCTCTTCACAGAGTTATTATTCAAGTTGCTTTGGCTACCTCCTCGTTCGGAGGATTGTTAGATAGCATCAAACATGAAAAAGCTCCTGCTTTGGTAGTTACCATTTAGTGTAAACAGTTTGAATAGTTTAAGGGTGAAAAAAATAACTTAAGAATATTCTAACCTGATACTCAGAAAATCCTTGCACTCTGCAGTAATTCACCAATTCCTTCATCTTTAAGTAATGTTATCTCCCACCCTGGAGAAAACATGCTGCTCATTGCTACCAAAGTGCAGTCTTGAACTTGCTTCATCCGCAATTTCCAACATGGCCAGGTGACTCTGTCAACCTCTCCATTAGATTAGGACATGCAGTATGACAATTCACTTCATTTAGCTAAACAATGAACAGCCTGGATGTATCAATTGATCATTGTAAATCAATAATAGCTAATCAATCCTGCATCAGTAACCTTCTGAATATCTAATACATGAACTGTCAGTCAATCAACTTACCTTGCCCTCTTGCATGGGTTCATCTCAATCTCTTCTTGGTGCCTTCTTCAAAGCATCATCCGAAGGGGCCTATCACTTAAGGAGATCATAGATACATACAAGTACATGTTGACATGCATGCACAGTAAGGTGATTTACAGCAGCTGCACCTGCATCAACTTGCAAGTAAGTGTATGTATGTCCTCAACCATCGCATCCCAGAAACAAAAAGAAAAAGAAGAAAGAGTTGCAGTGAAACTGATGTATTAGAACACCAGAGAGACAGCAGATATGCTAACTGGTTGTAAGTTACTTCATAGTTCTGGGGCATTTTGCCGTGTGCTATTTTGCGGAATGCAGCCAGTGACAACTTGACAGGCTGCAAAGTATGAACTGACTGACAGGGTAAAGGTGAAAAATAACAGCCCCTTCTTCCGATTCAGTATCCGAGTGTCAAAGGACCTTCACAGCTCCCCATGCCATGTGGTCCAAGGCGAGTGGGCATTGACAAGTAGTGTTTTTTTGATATGTGCGGAGTAGCCAGGCCAGAAATTAGAATATCATTGGGGTTACTATTGTAACGGAGATTTCGTTTTACTTTTTCCTTTGTAGATGAATCTCAATAATTGTCTTAAGACCTCTTTGTCTGCTCATCGTAGTCTGGATGCTCATTTGTTGACTTGTCTCTTTCACATGTAAGAACTTGAGATCTTCTTCGGAGGGGAGTTAAAAATGGAGAAACTTAATTCCGCTGTTGTGATACAAAAACATTGAGAGGGATTCCCCTGCGGTGCCGAAGTTCAGTAATATTATCACGGAGAATATTAAACCTTTATATACCCCCTACCCTACAATGGGGAGAATGCCATATGGAATCTGGATGATGTTGGACTTCATGAGAAGAGAATCCTTTATCTCGAGAGAGCCGTTGCAAGAGAATCATTTTTGTAGAGAGCTGAGACGCCGTGGCATTAAGCGGACTAGTGTAACTAATAACTATTCTAAGGAACATGGCAATATATGCTAGATCATAGATTCTCCAGTTGCACCGTACTTTCTACGCAAACAACTTGTATATCACCTATAATTTTCAGAAGGTTAATCTACGCCTCGACGAAACTTGGCATCTTCTGATTCATGACACAATGAATATATATACTTGAGCTGCAGCACATGTCCGTAGTCTCCCCATAGGTCAGATATATGCGAACCCATCCAATTCCCACTCTTCTACATCCATTCCCAAAGCACATGATGTATAACTGACCACCTTTCCAAACAACAAAGAAAGTTCGCAGAATGCTGGGTTAAGGTCTGAAAGATATTTTTGTATGTCATCAATTGTCTCGGCGTCGTGAATGGGCTGAATAGCGTCTACCGGATTGGTAATAACTTGTTCAATATCCTGTCTCGTTTGGAATAACGCGCGGTAGAGATCATCCACGTTGGTAATATTTTGTTCAATATCCCGTCTTGTTAACGCATCATAGAGATCATCCAGGGTAGGAATATTCTGTTCAATATCCTGTCTCGCTTGACTATCGAGAGATGCCTAAATAAGATAAGTATTAAGAAACAACAAACTTGCGGGAGGGGCTTACCATGATGGAAAGACAACACGATGCTCCTTGTGGAAGTCTTCTTCGTGGTCCTGTGAGGCTCCTATGGATAACAAATTGTATTTTGTTATATGGATGTGGACGAAGATGGCTACTCTTATAGCTGCTCGGAGCGTTGATCATGAAAACAAGCGAGAGGAAAAAATTTAGTTCGATTTGGTGCTTATTGCAGGGGCTACATCGGAGTATGCAAGAAGGCGGTTATGAGACTAGTACATGCAACTAGCATGCAAATGGGATGAACGATGCATCTCATTTTTAGCAGCCAGTTTTGGCAAAAACGCCTCATTGCTGGGATAACTATACACGAAGAATCGACGGATGCGCATGGATCCCGATAGGGACATTCAAACGTGGTGCTGAAAAAGGTCGTCGTGAAAAATCATCGTTAAGAGTGTGTATGCTATGATGTGGGCGAAGGAGCGAAGAATTGGGAGATTGGATGGTACTACGGCTAAATACCCGATTTGTATGTACATACATACATAGAATTAACCAACAACAGTAGCAGACCGGCCGAGAAAGTGATAAAATACATTAGCCAACGCCAAATATCACGGCCGCATCAGCAATACCCAAAGCCAAGGAGTTGGTCCCATTCCAAAGCTCCTCAGGCACTTCGAAACTGTGATAATTACTAAGGAGCAATGTCACAGTTAGGCCATCCAAGCTGAAACCTGTAACAGTGCTCTGTTGCCAGAGATCTCCTGGCAAGTTTGAACGCTCGCGGAACACTGGTAGTTGAAGTAGAAGTGATGCACGACTTACGCGATCTCGATAGGTATATAACAGATGTGTTGACAGTAACCCTCTCAATTGTGTGGAGAGCAACTCGATGGTATCATCCAATCTCTTCATAGACAATGACTCCGGCTCCCTTACATATTGTCGAAGAATTTTTATCAGACAGAGCGCGTATGGTAGTGCCAGAGGTCCATCAACTCTATTCTCAGAGAATGCGCACTGGACATTTCTTAGACAATAAGTATGAGTCTTCAGATACTCCAGCCGCTCTTGAAGTACAGGCTCTGAGATGAAAACTATGAAATCCAAGGGTACTTTTTCATCATCGCCGTGACGTATCTATTTAGAATTAGCATTGGCGGTGTCAAATGTCAATTTCCATTTGTATTCCATACATCACCACGGATAACCGGATAGTAGCAATCAGCTGTGTGAATCAAGTACGGGCTGGGTCTGAGATCGCGAGCTTCATCACCGGTGGTGAGATTTATCCTTGCCTACATTTAGCTGAGCTCTCGTTGAGTAGACGAAGAATGGCAGATTCCCATGGCAAGAGATTCCGTGGATCCACTTTTTAAATCCAAGGACCGTATGTAGGGGGAAGTTTGGATCCTTATATGGTAATGGCAACTGTCGTTCGGGTTGGAGCTAATGGATTTTCTTATGCTTGATCCGTTTCCCTTCCAAAAGCTTTATGCCGTCTTTACAAAACCGGACGCCGCCTGGCTGGGTCAACGAATCTTTCCGGTGTTCCATTCTGGGCACCATTGCAGTGTAAGGCCCCCTTTTTAAGCAGTTGCGACAGGCAGGTGCCATCATATCTGACATGTCTTGCTCTGCAGGTTCAAACAGCCTGTGAAATTTCTATGATGATATCTTCGCTGACGGGTTGAACATGCGGCTCCTGGAATTTTTTAGCACAGAGAGCATGGACAGGCGGTGTGGTACTCACCATCTCTACAAGACAAAATCTGCTGGACTGGCTTGTGGCTAGGGAATATCCATGGAGCAAGAACTGCTTCTTGTTACCTTTGGAATGTTAAGAGCAGGTATACTGTTTGGGAAATACTCTTCGCTTCGCCCAACCAGAGCTGATATTTTCATGGCCCTCTAAAGAGTGATTTATCCCACTTGTGTAGAATGTTGTAGTATAAATTCACAGTTATAGGAAGATTATTGATCCGGGAGCCCTGAAAAGGTAGTTACCCAGCAAGCGAATTGAGTTTCTGCAACGCTAATTCCCCCTATCTCCTTGGAAACAAGGCACTGAGGACTATGGCTTTGACCATCAAAATTCTTAGCGCGCGAAATCAACCTTTGTCCGAATCCACCACACAGAGTGGAGAACATTAGAAGCACGAGTTCTTTACATCTCCGACTTGTCCCTCTTACAACATATGAAAATCATCTAGCCATTTTTGTAAATCTGACTCAACCACTTTCTGAACTCTGTGGCTTTGTGCAGCTATCTCAGTGAAAGCAGGATGCTGAAAAGCCTGTTGTTTAATATGTTCCTTGTCTTTGATTAGCTAACTATCCATTGCATACTTGGCCTGCAGACCTGCACATACCTTCACAGTGTGAAGCATAGACTCGAATTCTGCAGCAGTCTTGAAATTCCAGCCCTGATGAACTCTGTTTCTGGCTCAAATGTTTTTTAGTTCATCATCCGGAGGGGAAGATATGAATGAGCAGAGTTCACTGAGTCCGACTTCATCCATGCCAAAATGCCACGCGAGGGTAGCAAGTCCTGTTATTTCATTGCCTGAAAGTCCCTTGTACCAGCGCTCTAGATCCTCCGTCGGGATCAAACCGCTGGTGGGAGCCCAGCAACATACAATAGACTCCAATGCAGCAATGGTTGCGTCGTGGGTAAAAAAAAAAAGAAGGCCCAAAAATACTCCCAACTGCCCTCTTGTCTATATTGTCGATGCTGAGGATGTTGTTGGCGGGGATATCTTCGCGAGCGGAACCCCCCTGGGTGGGTGCTGCTTGCATGGCATCTGACAGAGATGTGCCCATCGGCGGAGTTGGCAAGATCTTTTTTGCCTGACTAGAAAGATTGCCTGTGCTTCTCCGCTTGCGCGGGTTCCCCGGCAGTGGCAGTTGTAGTGAGGATTGATCTGACGGAAAAAAATCAGCAGGGCTCTGAGTTTAAAACACTCTGAGTAGACTAACCTGACATCTTCTTGTAAGATCTCTGTGGCTTGATAAAGGGCAAAAGGGAGCGTAAGGAGATAGTAAGTAAGTTGGGACGATCAACCATTCTTATACCATTGGCTTGTTTTCAAGTAGATTCGAACAGCCTCCACGAGAAATATCAGATCTTGGTAAACTTCCTATAAAAAATCATAAATATATTGAAACATTTATTGGAATGGCTGACCCACCGCCGACATAGAAAGAGCCACACTTTGCGGGGAATAGTAAAACCACAAAAAAATAGATACAGCTACAAAAGCAACAGCCTTAATCATCTTCTGTGGTGGGTGCCGTCATCGATTGAAGGACGCATACTTATTCCAGGAGGTGTAGTGTAATGAGAGGAAGACCCAGTGACAGTAAAAGTTTTGGAGAGTGAGAGTTTAGCAGAAAGGCCCATGATGTGCATGTCAACAGAAATGAAGCTGCAGAAGAGAGCGGAGTTAATTAAAATTTCCGCTCCGAATAGATGGTATACACCTTGTCCAATGCCACTGTATTGCTTCCCAGCATCCAACATTCCATGTTAACCCTCTGTATTTGCTTGCGAGTTCTTCAAACCTTTCACCACTCTTTTCAACTGCATCCCTGGCGCCCTTTGCTTCAATGAAAGTTTGACAATCAGATTTCCCCACCATTCTTCCATATTTAGTTTTGACGGTGAATAGTATGTCAGTGGAGTGCAGGTCATATATCACACCGCAGTATTCTTCAATTTCCTCAGTCACTCACTACCTATGAATTGGTAGAGGCTGCTATATTTAGACGTTAGCAACGACTGAATGCAAGGGGGTGGAAACGCACTACCCAGGAAGTATTGGCACAGCGTGAATGTTCGAGGCATCTTTCGCTTGCCCATTGCTGGACTCATCTGGTGGTGTGGGGTTTGGGTTATGACCAAACCAGCTCAAAAGGCGCAGTATCTGCGACATGGCCAACAGCCGTTCGAATATCAACCTAATGACCTTCTAAAACAAGGTCAGCCACTCGACATGGTAAAGCAGCGTACATGCCCAGCCGATTTCAAACAAGACAACGAGCGAGCGGTGAAGCGTCTCTTATATTTGAAACAAGGGTCCAAAGAGACTCATAATTTGGCCTTAATAAGAGTTAGTTTAGTTAGCGATACTGTACAAAAATAAACACATTTGTATTTAGAGCTTGAATTGGCAATCTGGACCATTGTAGCTTTGGGGGAAATGATATATCCTCTAATTTGAGTTACCGTAGTTACCACTGGGCAAAAGCAAAAAAGATTGGAGGTTGGAACAAGGATTGAAGTGGAACAAAGGGGGGGTCCATGCGAGCTTTGGCTGGATGGCTGAAATATGTGCATATCACCAAGGACAGCTGCCAAGCCTAAACGAATTCACAAGAATACACAAGAATACGTTGTTTAGGCTTGGTAGCTGTCCTCCCCATCCATCATTTCTGGGGATTTGAATCTGTTTGTGAGAGCACTGTTGTCAATCTCTACTATTCCAGTGATGCAGTGAGAAAGATGTCATCTTCTTTTAGTTATAGAACACACTTCTATTCATTTTATCTTCGCCTCTGGGGAGCACTTTGCTTGTGTTCACACTCGTGTACCATCCTCTCAGTTTGCCGAGAATTTTCCTCGGAATTTCTGCCTGTCTTATGTCAACCACAGCTGGTGTTGTAGAATCGCTGAGGAAGGCAGTCAGCAGTCATTATGTTCATTTGTACAGTCTATCTGCTGGGATGACAATGATGTGTCTACAACGATCAAACGTTGTAATCAGGTAGCCATTGAGCAAGTTCGCAACATCCTTCATGCTCGCAGGTGCGAAAATGAAGGTCTTTACTGTGAAGACGGCGAGAGTTGTAGAAAATCGAATAGGGCCGACAATCGCAAAGAATCGAACGGGGCCATGGGTAGTAATGACGACGAGGGATCCGTGGCTGACGCGGACGACGACAGGAACAACGACAGGGACAACCACGACGACGACAAAGGGGACAAAGAATCAAATGGGACCATGAGTAATGACGACGATGAGGGGTCCGTGGATGACGAAGACGGCGACGACAAGGAACGATGACAAAGGGGATGGGGAGGTCAGTCTTAAAAGGAGTCAGGAGCTCAGCAAAAGTTTCGTTTGTGCTTTTCAGAAGGCTCTCTCCATTTCCGTTGAGGATTCAGCTGATCTCCCATCCCTTGACACACACAATAAGGACATTTCGACAGATGGGCCCGGCACATCCCTCTCCTTCCGAGCATTATTACTTTCTGTGGTATATCAAAGGACATCACTTCAACTGGATTTCTCTGTGAAGAAATCAAGGTTCCTTGCATTTTGCTTTTATATGATCGCGAAGCATTTAACACTAGGCAAACACAAAACATGGCGAAAGGTTTGTTGTGGAACTCTGAGACACAATGACCCATTGCTAACTTGTTAAGATGAATGCTCTCATGAGAAACCATGGCTGGAATTCCACTCCAGCAGCGTTGAGAAATCACCGGAACGAAGTACTGCTAGTCAATGGAATTCTTGGATCTCTTAATCAATCATGGTGGAGTTCAGACATATGCATTTCATACTATGTTATCTTTGGTGAGATTGACCCTACTAAATTTCTGAATTTCTGATCCAAGACTGAGTGAGTTAGAACCTTCAGTGTACAAGTATGTATATGACATTAGTCGGCTGTCTGGACCTTCTCGAGCCTTGTCAATCGAGAAAATAGTTGGGGCTCTTCGGGAATGGAACGGGCCCTTTGGTCGTCACCCGTCATTTGATGTACCCCGTATAGTAGTCGGGTTTAGTGGAGATGCTTAGTGAGTCAAAAGCCTATGTCTCGGAGTTCTCTAAAGCTAATTGCTGAAGCACTGAATCAATATGCGAGGCTATCGGATTTGTTGAGCAAAATTCTCACGCTTCTGCTACCAACCGGGGAAGCCCAAATAGCCAGGATATCCACCCCGAGATGAGTCAGAAGCGGGCATCTTCTTCCAAAAAGGATTCTCCTGTCAAGCGAAGATGCCACCGGCGAAAGGAACAAGCTGGTCACTCACAAGACAAGACAGGGCATACAGCCAGCACCGGGAACACAAATGGACAAAGAACTCAATTAAATACACCTGAGGTATGCCAGTTCGCGACAGAAGGTTTGACATCTGTGGAAGGCGCCAGCTCTCTGAGCAATACTGAAAACAACACCAATGTCCACCGAGCACCATCCGACAGATTCCAGATCAGACCTGTATTCGAATTAAGCACCTCGACTATTACAGGCTTCAATGATCCTGCACGGCAAACGTCCGCCAACCACCTGGGAACCTCGAATCAAATAGAAAACAGACGCGGCACATCCTCAACAAGCTCAATATCCGCTGACAACTCGCTGTACAACGGTCCTGGTGGCTCAGATGTTCTTGAGCGCCACAATGATTCTTTTTCGAACCAAGTGCGCGATGGTTTGCAGCTAAACCCCATCGGGGAGCTCTCGTTGGAAGAGCAAGAGGTTGCCCAAATGCCTCAACAATTTCAACAACAGACACAACCAACATCCGATCCACCTACACAGCAGTTGGGAGAAGTGAGCGTGCGAAATGTCACGAGAGAGTGTACTCAAGGTACGTCAAGGGACCAGTGTGTACCGGAACCCTACCATTGGAGCAGCCGCCGAAAAGGGAACAAAGTAGTTCAGCTTAAATATGAAGTCCCTAAGCTAATTCAATTAGCAGTCAGCGCAAATGACCATGGTGGCCTCGAAAATGATACAGATGTTCCGTCGCATGCCCCTGGCCCGATCGTCGATGCCCACATGGCACAATATACAGTATCCGGGCAGGATTCAGTGATGCAAGACATTGATGTTACAAATGATATAGTCAGAATATCACCCCGGCGAGAGGAAATTACTGGGCCGGTTTCTGTGACAAACGCCGCGGGCAACTTATCGAACTTCGAGGATAACTCTTTCACTTTTTTCCAAACACACGATCCTAATGAGGAGTCTCCGATAGTTTCCCAGAGTCATTCCCAAAACATACCTCAGGGAGCTCTGCCCATCAATAACAACTCCGATTCATCTTTTGACCCCGCCCCTGTCGTCGACGAAAATCATGAGCGTCAGTTCAGTGGAAGAGTATCTGGACCTATTAATTCACAGAATCGTATACCTGAGGGCCAATCATTACATGGAAATCCTACCCCAGAATCCCAATTGACAGTCGAGCCATGGCCGAGTGTGTACTTTAACCAGAGCGTGTTTCATGACCTCGGTACACAACATCCAATATCTAGGCAATCGACAGTCGAGCCATGGCCGGGTGTGTACTTTAACCAGAGCGTGTTTCATGACCTCGGTACACAACATCCAACTTCTGGGCAATCAACAATCGAGCAATGGCTGAGGAGTGTGGTTTATGACAATCATTCACTGGTACTTCCAGATGCTAGCTCAGCTGATGGCATGAACTTTCATCAGTTGCCACTGTTCCCAAGTTCTGACAGTTCAAATACACGACCATCAGTGTTCCAGGAAGGGTTTATGAGAGAAGCATAGGAAATAAAATTATTGTAATACATAATTTAATTCAAAGTACAGGATTACTCCGCTTAAACTATTCAACGATCTCACATTCTATTCTCTCTGATATCTTGTAGATATCCCCGTGGCCGATCTTGCCATCCGTCTTAAAGTGGTTTAGACGATGAGTAGGTCAACACAAGAGTGGAAATAGCACTCAGTCCCTGTAACCTCTACAACACTTCCAGCTGGAACGGTTATTATTGAATTTTGATCAGGGCGATCGGATACCATGAAATCATTTGATATAGGGACGAGATTCACAGGATTCGGTGTGATAAACCGGGTGCGGTCACTTATTCTCAGAATTTTAAATGAGTCCTGACAATAGCCATCAGTTACCTAGTATCCATGAAGGGAGGGAGGAATGACACTTACATCTGCCTCAACTTCATGTAATATGGTTTCAACTTTCGAAGAGTCTAGAGACTCTACTATGCTTTCCTTCATAGTATTGGATATCGAGCGCCACGATGCGACTTTATTCACATGTTCTTTGAGATATTTCAGTTCATTGTCGCATTCTAGAGGCAACCGGCGAACATTCAGGTATTACTTCGATTCGCTCGACATATCGCTTGGAAGATAGATGCGGGGCGTAATGATGACGGCGTGGGAGTTAACAATTCTGAGGTGAGCTTGCGAAGAGGTTGATCCATGGATATAAGGTCGTAACGTGTGGATATTGGAACGGTGTTGTCGGGTCGGGGAAAATTTTTTAGAGGGGCACCCAACCCCACCATCACACAGCGTCTTGCCTCTTGGCATTAAAACCAACCCTACTCACTCTGCCTGTCTTGCGGCGCTTTTCCCATGCTAAAATATGTTCAAAGGTACCGGCTTCCCAAAAAAGGACTCTGTAGGCATCTTTCTATATATGGGTAAAGTAGAGATGAAGATTTTACATAATTGATTTAGCGACATCATCGTCCGGCATTCCCGTCATCAGATGCGACGAGATCAAATAAGTTAATGTAAACAAAAAAGAAAGCATTGCTAGGGGAGATAACTAGGCCCCACGGTGGGTGGGCCTGAAAAACACAAGTTTTCTGCTTGCACCCAGTGCAGTCAATAATGATCGAATTCTTGGCTCCTTCTGTCCGAAGGAAATCAGAGTGTCCTTGCTGAATGACCAGAAATAAAGCCTTGGATATATGTTGGCCGTTACGGCCGTTGCGGCTATTGGCTGTGGCGATCTCGCTAGATCACGTGACCAACCACTATATTAAGCTCTTTGTAGATAGATCTATCAATACAACCTTCAACTATTCTAATGTAATCAACCACAGTCCAGCTAACGCTCGTTTCCACCTAATACTCGCCTTTGTAAATCAATTACAATCAACTTTAAATGTTAATATCTTGATAAATATTCATTATTTTAATTTTTTAATTTATAATCTATAAATATCAAGACTTATAGTATAATATAATTCAAAATTCTTATAATATAGTTAAAATTGATTAAAATGTAGATTTAATTAGAAAATAAAATACAGTAAAATAAAATATATAATATTTTATTATAAATTAAGAAATATATATTTATATATTATTAAAAATAATAATTCTTATATAAATATATTATAATTTAATAAATATTAAATTATTTTATATAAGAATTCTATATTTTAATTTTTAAGAATTTTTTTATTTTTTTATTATAATTCTTTTTATAAATTACAGATAAAATATTGTAAATTCTTGAAATTTTAAATTTTAAAAAATAATTTATTAAATATTAATATATTTAAATAATTTGATATAATAATTTATTTAAATTATAATTTTAAAGTATTGAAATATGATGAAACTGAAGCAGTGACTAGTTAGTAGTATTATATAGAGATAGTTATTTAAGAAGCTGTATAAGTAAGCTTAACTATCTTACTTAAATAGTGAGCTTGTAAGCTACAGAGTTATTATAAGAATATCACAGATACAGTACTTAGTATACTAAGAAGATTATATAAGAAATACAGTAACTCTTGTATATCTTTCAGTAGAAGAAAAATGAATCACTGATCTTTTTAATAAGAAGTCAGCATCTAGCTATTCTATATAGATAATAAGTGAATACTCTTCTTCTATTTTATAAGTGAGAATAGTTAGAGTGATATCTCAGTGATATCTTACTATTATAAAAGAGTAATCTACTGACTTTATATAAAAGTAATTATTATTATTATTATTATTCTTTCATTATACTCATATGCAAGCGGAGCTTATGATGAGTCCTTGCGTGATGTTAAATACAGGTCAAGTGTTGGTTATACAGGAGGAAATACAGGTGTTGAGACCATGTCAAGATAACAAGAACATAGGAAAATACAAAGGAGTGACAATTAGATACATGTGATAATAACTTCCCAGCCCAGGAACATAGAGCGATTCATTGAAGCAATTTGTACACCTCTGTATTTATTAGAAACCTGAGGTGCTTGAGTTCCGGATTTAATGTATCCCCTGCGGGTTTCGAACCCACGCGCCTTGGTTTCCCACGCCAAGGTGCTACTGAGTGGCCGCATTAACCATTCAGCCACCGGGGTGATATAAAAGTAAGATTCTTATATTTATTAATCAGATCTTTCTATAATATATCTGAATAATATTATAGAGTGATTGAAAATCAGTTTAAATAGTCTATAAAATGAATGAAATTATCTGTAAGAAAGCAATAAACTGTGTGAAACTATAATAAGATCTTAATATAACTGAGAGTGTAATAATACTCTCTTCTTTAAGAGTATAGTTTCAATACTCTTAAGATTATCAAATTAGAAGTTATTTTTATTATATAGCAATAATTATCAACTGATTAATAGTATATATACTGCAGTACAAAGAAATAGATGAGTTTTCTCTGCTAACTGTATAAATCTTTCTTTCTCATCTCTATTCAAATCAAATATATAGTAAGTAAGTTTCTTATATATCAATTTAAAATGTGAAAAATGTAGTTAATAAGTGACTTATAGATCTCTTATCATATTCTGTTTTATATATAGAATTCTCTGCAAAAGTGATATATTTTAGAGACAAAGCTAATAGTAGTAATAGAATTTTTTAAAAAGATTTTCTTTTCTCTCTGTAATATATTTTTCTTTCTCTCTCTCATCTATAATAGTAAGTGTATGAGAGCATTATTCTTGAAAGATAATAAGAGACTTATTCTGATATTCTCTAGTAAGTAATAAACATCTTTATAATGCAGCTGCAGCCTCTGTAGCTGTTAAGAAAGTCAGGTTGAAGATAGAGACAGCAGTGTCAATGAGCTGCAGAAGTACTGCTTTTATTATTATATCTTCTTCTTCTTCTGCATCTCTTACAGCTGTGATGATAGTAGTCATATCTTGCAGTGAGATATTATTTCTTCTGCTGATCAGTTTATCTGCATTTAGTTTATTTTCTGCCTCTTTTATTACTGTTGTGACACTGCCTCTCTCTTCAGCTAATATAGTAATGTATAACCTTATATAATCATTCAGAGAGAATCTCAGAGAGAGCTTGATTTCAGAAACAGTGACTCTGAGAAGCTCAATTTATAGTTCTTCTTTCATAACATACTCAAGCTCTGCTTAGAATACTGCTGAGTTAAGTCTGTAGAGTTCTGTAGTTTCTTTATCTTCTCTCTGTAAGAAGACTTTAGTGCAGTCTCTAGTCAGCACTTCTACTTATCTACACTATGTCAAGCAGCTGAAGAAAGAGAATTTTATATATCTATCTCTTCTCTCACTTCTGTTATTTTTACTATATCTGTAATAATGACTTCTATCTCTCTGTAAGTATTATCTATTCTATAAGAAGACATTATATTGATTCTGACAAGAAGCTCAGATACTCAAGCAGTATAGAGTGAGAGTCTCAGAGCTTTAAGTATTGACAGATTCTGTTAAGACTGAGAAGATCTCTCTTACTTATCTGTAAAAGAAGATAAAAGTGTGAATCTCTGAGATAAAAAAATATCTCAGAATGACTGATCTCAAGAAGAGATTAGTCAGCACTGTTATTGAAAGTATTATAGAGATAAATTACTGATTAAAGAGAATCTCACTTCAATTAAAGCAGATAACTGAGATGCTTTATAAATTGATAAGTTAATAATTTTATATATCTCTCATACTCTTCTATGATACTGCAGTACTAACTTCTTAACAGATAAAGATGCTAGTGCTGAAGACTTCAATGATAAAGAATAAGTTTAATAAGAGTGTAATTATTGATAAGTAGACTTTGATCTCTCTTTAACTTTTTCAGCAGACTGTGACTCTATTAAAATAGCAGCAGTTCATAGATTAATAATATTAATCTTTATTAGTTTTAAATATCTCTTTCTTTTCTTATTAACTGCTTTAGAAATTTTATACATGTGTAATCTCATTAAACTTCTAAAAACTCTTTGAGAGAAAATAGAAGAAGAGTGCTACAGAGTTCATAAGATACTGACTTATTATTATAAGATTATCTCTAAAAAAACTCTTTGAGAAAAAATAAAAAGTCTCAAGTAGTATTTCTTACTTAATATCTCTGATATATAATAAAACAGTCTGTACTAGCTATTTCATAGCTTGCAATCTCTTTCTCAGCATTTTTTAAATACTTAAGTGATTTTCATGAATTCTCTGATAATAAATAATCTTCTTATTTAACAAGGTATTGAAGCTTGCTGTAATATATTTACTTCTTCAATATTTTCTTCATAAGATATTCAGTATCACTCTTAATCTTAATATTATCTGATCAAGACAGCTCTGCTCTGAGATATTGCTTATAGAGCTCTAAATAGAAAATGTGAAAAACAGAATGAATTGATTTCAATTCTGAGAATAACTTCAACTTATATACCTGCTTATTCATCACTCTTATTACTGAGAAAGATTCTAGTCACTGCTCACTGAGCTTCTTATATAATCTTATTATCTTGATATTCTTTACTGAAAGTAGTACTTAATTCTCTATTAAGAACTTCATTGAAAGATGTTTTCAATTATAGTATTTTATCTATTACTTCTGAGTACAGTGAATACTTTTCATCATCTTCTTATGAATTTTATTTAAAAATTTCAATGTTACTTTTACTTCTGATACTGAGAGATACTCTGTTCTCTGTATCTGTTTAATATTCTGACTATCTATTCTTCTCTTTGAAATATTATCTGTGATGTCACTGAGTAATAAAGAATTATATTTATAATAAGTATAGAAAGAAGATACTTTTAAGATTGCATTCTTTGCATTATTATACATGAATTTAACAGTTAGAAGATATTTAGGTCAATTATTCTGATAATATAAATAGAATGTTTAAAGATACTATTCTAATATCTGATTGTAATATTCAGTCTGATCATCTATCTGCAGATGAAATATAATACTGAGAAGATATCTTATTATAAAATTATAGTAAAATGCTGATCAGTATTTACTAATAAAGAGAAATTCTTGATCTG